GTGGCTTGGGTCGCTGGCTCCGCCGCCGGCTGCAACCTGGCTGTGCTGCTGACCCTCGCGGTCCTCATGGCCTGCGTCAACGCGGCCGTCGGGTCGCTGCTCGCCAGCGCCAGTAAAGCCTGCGTGCTGGTAGGAGTAGCTTGGGCCACTGGCTCCGCCGCCGGCTGCAACCTGGTTGTGCTGCTGACCCTCGCGGTCCTCTAGGCCTGCGTCGACGAGGCCATCGGATCGCGGCTCGCCACTCCAGTCAAGCCTGTGCGTGCTGGTAGGCGTAGCTTGGGCCTCTGGCTCCGCCGCCGGCTGCAACCTGGTTGTGCTGCTGACCCTCGCGGTCCTCATGGCCTGCGTCAACGCGGCCGTCGGGTCGCTGCTCGCCAGCGCCAGTAAAGCCTGCGTGCTGGTAGGCGTAGCTTGGGCCACTGGCTCCGCCGCCGGCTGCAACCTGGTTGTGCTGCTGACCCTCGCGGTCCTCATGGCCTGCGTCAACGCGGCCATCGGATCGCTGCTCGCCAGCGCCAGCAAAGCCTGCGTGCTGGTAGGAGTAGCTTGGGCCACTGGCTCCGCCGCCGGCTGCAACCTGGTTGTGCTGCTGACCCTCGCGGTCCTCGCGGCCTGCGTCGACGTGGCCATCGGATCGCGGCTCGCCAGCGCCAGCAAAGCCTGCGTGCTGATAGGCGTAGCTGGGCCCGCTGACTCCGCCGCTGGATGAAACACCGCGGTGCTGCTGACCCTCGCCTTCCTCGCGGCCTGCGTCGACGTGGCCGTCGGATCGCCGCTCGCCGGCGCCAGCAACGCCTGCGTGCCCGCGGACGCCGCCGCCGGATGCAACCCCGCGGTGCTGCTGCCCCTCGCCGTCCTCGTGGCCTGCGGCGACGCGGTCGCCTGGGCGAGGCACGCTCCGCACTCGCTCGCCCTGCGGCCGGCGGCCAGGGGTCTGGGCGTCAGCGCTGCCGCGCAGGGCGTCGTGGCGAGAGCTGCCCGGCTCGCCGCGCGGGTCTGCCCGGGCGAGCGTCGCCGCGAGCGCAGCGGAGGCCGAGGACGGAGCCGCGGGGCGGCCGGGGCCTCCGACGCCCTTGGCCGACACCTTGACGCCGCTGACGGAGATGGGGCCGCTGCAGTGGTTCTGGATGCCCTCCAGGCTCGCCAAGCGCTCGCGCAGCAAGCGCTCGCGCAGCAGGGTCGCCAGCCCGTCGGCAGACTCGTGGCCCAGCCGCGCCGCGAGCGCCTGGTCGTGGGCGAGCTGCGCCGCCTGCCGCTGCAAGCTAGCGTCGCCCACCCGGCGCACCGAGATGCGCTCGGGACTGATCGCCCTGGAGGCGAGCGTGCGGCTGATTTCCTCGCGGAAGCGGCCCGCCAGGCTGGCGTCGTTCTCCAGCCTGGTGTGGTCAAGGTTGTCTACGGAGAAGAAGATGTCGGCCATGACCGCGCACAGCGTCAGGGGCGATGCGAAGCATGGGTGAGGCGCCTGCAGCTGGCCTTAAACCGAAACGGCTGCAGACGGCGACAGTGATGACGACCTCGTGTCGTGACGAGGTAAGACAAGCATGGAGATCACGAAACGTGTCTGATGATGGTGACGGTGTTGATGATGCTGATACTGATGATGATGATGATGATGATGACGATGCTGATGCTGATGGTGATGCTGATGATGATGCTGATGCTGCTGATGATGCTGATGCTGATGATGCTGATGATGCTGATGATGGTGGTGATGATAATGATGAGGATGCTGACGATGATGATGATGATGATGATGATGATGATGATGATGATGATGATGATGATGATGACGACGACGATGATGATGATGCTGATGATGATGAGGATGATGATGAGGAGGAGGATGAGGATGAGGATGAGGATGATGATGATGAGGATGATGATGATGATGATGATGAGGAGGAGGAGGAGGATGAGGATGATGATGATGATGATAATGATGCTGATGATGATGATGCTGCTGATGATGCTGATGACGATGATGATACGCTGACGTCCTATGGCTGCCAAACAGTGCCGATGTGACGTCTCAGCCGTCGCAAGAGTCGCGTTGCGCATCATGCGTCGCGCCATGTGCTACTGAACCATGCGCGAACTCCGCGCGCGCCTGGCTTCCGGCAGGCCGTGGCCACAAGCCATCGTTCGAGGAATCTGAAGCATCGGAGTGAAGACTGTGAACGTGAGCAAGACGGGCCTCGTGACCGACGCCAGGCCTTGGAGCAGCGTGCTAAAGGTGCCCCCCCGAGTCCTCTGGATCAGGGCTGGACCTAAGCGTTGTCTCTCGTTTTGCTTTCGCTTTGTTTCTCGTTTTGCTCTGCCCGTTTTCCTGCACCTCCCTCTTTCCTGCCTGTTTTCCTGCACGCAGCCGAAGGCCAGCAAAACACCGTTTAGGTCCAGCCTCCTCCTCCTCCTCCTCCTCCTCCTCCTCCTCCTCCTCCTCCTCCCCATCCCCCTCCCCCTCCCCCTCCCCCTCACCCCTCCCCCTCCTCCTCCTCCTCCTCCACCTCCTCCTCCCTCCTCCTCCTCCTCCTCCTCCTCCTCCTCCTCCTCCTCCTCCTCCTCCCCCCCTCACCCCCCTCACCCCCAATCCCCTCCTCTCCTCCTCCTCCTCGTCCTCGTCCTCGGCCTCGTCCTCGTCCTCCTCCTCCTCCTCTCCTTCCTCCTCCTCCCTCCACCTCCTCCTCCTCCCCCCCTCGAGCTGCACTTTTTGGTTGTTCTTTGCTTCTTGTGCTTCTTCTTTCGGAGTCCTCTGGACGCCGCGCCTTCGAGGCCCTCCCTCTCCTCTCCCTGCTGCGTGCGCCACGCCCTGCCGCCGTGGTCTCGGCGACCTTCTCTGCGGGGCCTGCTGCACACTCTGAGCTGATCGCGGGCCTCCTCCTCCTCCTCCCCTCCTCCTCCCTCCTCTCCTCCTCCTCCTCCTCCTCCTCCACCCTCCTCCTCCCTCCTCCTCCCTCCACCTTCCTCCTCCTCCTCCTCCTCCTCCCTCGACCTCCCTCCACCTCCCTCGTCCTCCTCGTCCTCCTCCTCATCCTCCTCCTCGTCCTCCCACTCCTCCTCGCCCTCCCACTCCTGTTTCTCCTCCCCTCCTCTCGTCCTCCTCCTCCTCTCGTCGTCGTCGTCCTCCTCCTCCTCCTCCTCCTCCGGCTATCTCGGGCGCGACAGCTCTACGGAATCTTCTCGGACAATCTTGGCAGAGCCATCTCTGGGGCACTCCGGCGGTTATGGGGGCCGTCTGGGGGTTTCCTCGGCTGCCGTGCCACCCAGCCGAAACACACTGCGAGAGGAAAGAGACGCAGGATGCCTTCACAGCTCACTCCTGCGGTCCCACCCAACTCACAGAAACTGACAGGGGAGAATGGACACGACTTCCAACGGCAGAGCAAGCGTGAACATATTAGATTGAACAGGATGCCGTCTGAACTCCATGGCCGCGGTCCCACCGCGCCCAAACACGCTGCGAGAGGAAAGAGACGCAGGGGACTGTCACAGCCTATGGCTGCGGTGTCACCCAGCCCAAACACACTGCGTGAGGAAGCAGACGCAGGATGCGTTCACAGCCCATGGCTGCGGTCCCACCCAACGAAACGTTCGTCTCCTCCCTCTTCAAGTTGCGGCGAGTGCATGACTCTGTGCCCAACGAACAAGTTAGATAGCCCAATAGTGCAACGAAATCCAACGGTGAGGCCGTTTGGATGGGCATGTCGGGGCGCGGTTGGGGCGTCTTGGAGCGTCTTGAAATCATGCAGACCGAGCGGGCTGCCGTCGAGGCATCTGGAGGCATCTTGAAAACGTGAAGAACCAGCTTGGAGGCCTCTTGGGACGTATCTTGACTGTTTCGGCACCGCCTTGGAGGCCCCCTGGGCGGTCTCAGAGCTCTTTTGGAAGTGTCACGTGGGCCTCTTGGACCGCTGTCGGCTGTGGGGAGCCAGCAGCAGCGGGAAAGGAATCTCATCGAAAACAACACATGTAAATCAACGCTTTTCACCTCTGATGGCCGCCTGGATGGGCTTATCGGGGCGCTCTTGGAACGTCTGGCAGCATCTGGATATAATGGAAACCCGCATGCTTGCTGCAACTGGCTCGAACTGTCAGATCGAGTTCCCTCTGTTGTGCCGTCTTGGGCGCCTCTGGGGCCGTTTTGGACCGCTTGTGAAGGCCTTTTTGGTCGTCTTCTGCGCTGCTGAAGCCAAAACGGCGAATGTATATAGTAAAAGTGCACTTTCCCGAAAAACTGTGACGATTTTTTGCCTCTCGGAGTCCTCATCGGGGGTCCTCTTGGGGTGACTCGGAGGCCTCCTGGGCCGCCTCAGACGCCTCGTGAGCAGTCTGAGACCCCTCGAGGCCGTCTTGGAGGCAATTCGTGAACGTTGTGGCGGCTGTCGAATCGCCCTCGGAAGAGATTTCTGACCCCCCCAGCGCGGGCCCAGCCCCCAATTCGGCGGCGAGCCCCGGGGGGGAAGTGGGAAGCAGAAGGCCTTCTCAGAAGCCTCGGAAGTCCCCGGCCTTTCGGAAGGTTTCCTAGGCCCTCACGGGAGACGCAAGCAACCTCTCAGAAGGCGCGAGGGCTTCTGAGAAGTCCAGCCGCCTTCTGAGAAGGCCTTCTCCTTCTCCTCCTCCTCCTCCTCCTCCTCCTCCTCCTCCTCCTCCTCCTCGATCCTCCTCCTCCTCCTCCTCCTCCTCCTCGATCCTCCTCCTCCTCGTCGTCCTCGTTCCTCCTCCTCCTCCTCCTCCGCCTCCTCCTCGTCCTCTTCCTCCTCCTCCTCCTCCTCCTCCTCCTCCTACCTCCTCCTCCTCCTCCTCCCTCCCCCCCTCGCTCGCCGCCGACCAGGGCCCGCACATCTGCGGCAGATGCCTCTCGGCCCGGGGGCTATCCCCTGCCACGGGCCCCCCCCCCCTGGATGTTCGACGCGCCCGCCGTGCGACGACGACGACGACGACCGCTGTCGGTCAGAGGAGGAGGAGGAGGAGGAGGAGGAGGAGGAGGAGGAGGAGGAGGAGGAGGAGGAGGAGGAGGAGGAGGAGGAGCTTTGCCCCCCAGCGCGGGCCCAGCCCCCGATGCGGCCGCACGCAGGGGTGGCCCTGGGTAAAGGAGCGACCTTTGGTGCGCGGCTCCTCGTGGGCCGCGGGGGCGGACCAAGAAACCATGCGCGCAGGACGCCACTGCCGCCCCGCGCTCGGCGATCGGGGGGCCCCACGCCAGAGGTCGCTCCAGCGAGGGGGCACTCTTGCGAGCAGACGATCGGTGCCCACACTCGGGGCTTTTGCTGCAGGTGCCCCTGCCCCAAGGTGCCCCCAGCTTCTCGCTCAGTTGCGAAGCCCCTGGGGCCCTCTGGGCCTCGTGGGGGGTATTTTTGGAGGCCGCAGGGGCCTCCCTGGAAATATCCTGGGGGCAGGCGCCTTGGGCCAGGGACACTTCTGGCAACCCCCGGCGCACATCTGCGGCAGCTGTCCCTCGGCCTGGGGCCACCCCCGACCACTGCCCCCCGACACATGTGCGACAGGAGGAGGAGGAGGAGGAGGAGGAGGAGGAGGAGGAGGAGGTGGAGGAGGAAGAGGAGGAGGAGGAAGAGTTTTAAACCCGCGTGCTCCCGCCCGTGAGTGGGTGCCCCTGGTCTCGGCACTCCGCGCAGGCAGAACGGCCCGAGGCGGGGTGGGCCAGCGGCCTCATCTCACGGCGTCGTACTGCCGCCACTCTGTGACTCATGGAGTCGCCCCGTGAGCAGCGGCAGTCTGAAGAAATGCTGCCGCCGCCCACTCAGAGCTTGAGGAGCAGCCTGATGGACGGCCGCAGTCGCTCCTCAGCTCTGCGCTCTTCCAGGGACCGCCCTGGCTGCTGGTCCCTGGACTCATGGGCCTTCACGACCGCCTTGCCTGGCGCAGAGCTGTGGCCTAACCCCTCGCCACGCTGGGGCGCGTTGCGGCCTAACCCCTCGCCGCGCAGGGGTCCTCCGTGGCCTAACCCCTCGCCGCGCTGGGGTCTGCTGGCGTCTGGCCCCTCGCCGCGCTGGGGTGCTCCGTGGTGGCCTAACCCCTCGCCGCGCAGGGGTCTGTTGCGGTCTAACCCCTCACCGCGCTGGGGTCCGTCGTGGCCTGATCCCTCGCCACACTGGGGGTCGGTGCGGTCTAACCCCTCACCGCGCCGGGGAAACTCGTGGCCTAACCCCTCGCCGCGCTGGGGGCTGCTGCGGTCTAACCCCTCACCGCGCTGGGGTGCTCCGTGGCCTAACCCCTCGCCGCGCAGGGGCCTTTTGCGGTCTAACCCCTCACCGCGCTGGGGCCCCATGTGGCCTAACCCCTCGCCACGCAGGGGCCTGCTGCAGTCTGACCCATCACCACTATGGGGTCCTCCGTGGCCTAACCCCTCGCCGCGCTGGGGACCGTTGCGGTCTAACCCCTCACCGCGCTGGGGTACTCCGTGGCCTAACCCCTCGCCGCGCTGGGGCCTGCTGCGGTCTAACCCCTCACCGCGCGGGGGTACGCCGCGTCTCGCACTGTGCCCGTCCTCGGTGCTGCTGCCCCCTGGCTCGGGCGAGGTCCCCCGACTTTGCCTCTCTCTGTGTTCGCGGTTCACGTGGTATCCGCGGGCCGTGCCCTCCCCCTCGCGTTCAGTCTGTCGGTTTCCCGGGGTATGGGTCCGCTCTGTTAGTTGCGAAGTCCTGTCTACCATACTGTTGGTCAAAAGGTCCGCGTTGTGCTCACTGGGCACGTCATAAGCTTCCGCCTCAAGCCTCTGCTTGCCTTTGGTCCTGCGGTCTACCCCCTCACCGCGCAGGGGATTGCCGTGGCCTAACCCCTCGCCACGCAGGGGTGCCTTGCGGTCTAACCCCTCACCGCGCTGGGGGGGGGGGTCGCCGTAGATCTTATCCAAGTCCCGCTGCAGGTCTGTGTCGTCGTAGTCTGCCGCCTTCTCAGGCTGCGCTGTTTTGTGGCCTAACCCCTCGCCACGCGGGGGAGCGCCGAGTCTCGCACTGTCCCCTTCCTCGGTGATGCTGCCCACTGGCTCTGGCGAGGTCCCCCGACTATGCCACTCGCTGTGTTCGCGGTTCACGTGGTATCCGCGGGCCAAGCCCTCCCCCCCCGCGTTCAGTCTGTCGGTTTCCCAGGGTATGGGTCCGCTCTGTTAGTTGCGAGGTCCTGTCTACCACACTGTTGGTCAAGACGTCCGCGTCATGCTCACTGGGCTCGTCAGGGACCTCCGCCTCGATCCTCTGCTTGCCTTTGGTTCTGCGGTCTAACCCCTCACCGCGCTGGGGCCCTCCGTGGCCTAACCCCTCGCCACGCTGGGGTCCTCGGCGGTCTGCCAGGTGGTGCCCTATGCTGCGCTGTGCATCTGGGAACTGCTGGTGGTTGTCATCGCTGTTTTGCTTGTCTACGGCCTGCTGGGGGCAATCCTCGCTGTTCTCCTCTTCAGGGACGCGGTCGAGGTCTGCCATGTCCTTGGTGCTGCGTCCTGCTGGTGGGGGACGGGCGCCCCTCTGCACCCCGTCTGGCGCAGGGCTGTGGCCTAACCCCTCGCCACGCTGGGGTCCTCCTCGGCCTAACCACTCGCCGCGCAGGGGTCCATGGTGGCCTGTCCCCTCTCCGCACTGGGGCCTCCTCGGCTGTCTGGCTGGAGCCCTACTTGGCACTCGCCCTGCTGCTTGCGGTCGCGGGCTGCGGCTCCTCACCTCTGGCTCAGTCACGCCCAGGATCTGCTCAGCCGTTGCTATGCGCCGCTCTGCCTCCTTCGGGTCCTGCTGCTGGATCTGTCTGCGCGCCTCTCCGCTGTTGAGCCATGCCAGGCGGCAGATCTCCTCCGCCGCTCGGCGCTGGCTACGCTGGCGGCTCGTCCCTGACTCGTTGCTAAAAAGCCTCTGATAGACGCCAGTCTGCAGCGCCCTCAGCACATGGGGCACGCACGCGGCCTGCCACGATGGCCAGCCCTGCTCGCCCTCTTTCTGGCTCCAACAGCCTGCCAGCGACTGCATGAGCTGCTCGAGCCTGTTCCTCTCGAGCCACGCCACCTCCTGCTCTGGGTCCTGGTCAGCTTCTCCTTTGTTGTGTCGAAGCCATGGGTGGAGCAGGCCGACCTCGTCGGCTTCGCTCACGAACTTCATCAGGTCGGGCCTCACTGGCTTGGTCAGCGTTACTGCCACCTGCACTGCCGTCTGCATCAGGCTGTTGGCGTCGTGCCTCTGATCAGGTCCCACCATGGTCTCATTCTCCTGGCTGCTCGGCTCACCCTCCAGCTCTGAGGCTTCACTGTCTGGGGTCGAGTCGTCATCGTCCAGGTTCTCTGGTGACCACTCTCGGCTGGCCTCCGCTGTTCTCGGCAGCGGCCTGCGCTCGCTGCTGGGGATGCTGTGCGCTAGGATGTTGTTCCTTCTATTCTGGAAGGCGTCCATGTGCACTCTAGCTGCCTGCTGCATTGTACCATACGGGAGGGTGAGCATCCTGGTCATGAGCCTCCGTCGCGTGCGGTGCGTGTTGCGCCAGACGTCTTCGCAGAAGTCCTTGATCTGCTGGAGCTCCTGCACGGTGACGGCCCTGGTCTGCTCTTGCGTGTCCGTTCTGCCACCCACATTGGTGATGGCCAGGAGGTACGGTACGCAGTGCTCCATCCAGTCGTCCATATCGTCCCAGACCTCTTGGTCGACCATGTTCATCCACTGCTCCGCGTAGCCCTCCATGTGGTCGACGAGCCTCCAGCTGGCGTGGACGACAGAGTGCGGATGGCTGGGCGGCTGCTGTGGAGCTGGCTGCGGGTCCCCTGCCTCTGAGCTGTCCCCGTCCAGATCGATCGCCTCGTGGTTACTCAGGCCGAGCTTGAAGACTCCTGGCATGGTGATCTCTTCGAGACCCTCATCAGCTGGGTCTGCTGCTGGCTTAGCTCCCCTTGGCAGCTTGCCCCTCTGCATGTCCTCCAAAACTCGCCGCCCTGCTGCTGTTGGGGGCTGACATTGCCTTGCCAGCTTCCTTGCCACTCCTGCCACGATCCTGCTCTTGTGGTCCCCAAGGTAGCTGGTGCCGCCACATTTCTCGCACCAGAGCCAGCCATGGGTGTACTGCGTCTTGTGGGAGACGTGCACCACCTGCGTACCGATCTGCACCGCCTTGAAGTCGAGCCTGACGTTGCCGTGCTGGTCCTGGTGGCCGCCGTACTTCCCGAGGCATTTTCCCGTCTCTGCCAGCCAGTCTCTGATGCTTTGTCCTTTGGCTGGGCCACTGCGACACGTTGCACACCACCATCGCGGATGTAGCTTTCGCAGGTCGTGTCCCTGCTGGGCTGCCCTGTCCCTCGCCGTCTGCGGCTTTCGCCGCTTGGCCTTGGGCCGCTGAGGGGCCTTGTTGGGGTCCTCCACCATCACCGCCATGTTGATGGCCAGCAACCGGTTCTGCACCGCCATGGTGATCTGGTCTCTGATCTGCTGCTGCGCGATGATGGCTGGGTCCAGTGCTCCGTGCTCCGCCCCCCAGCCTGCGCACTTGTCTGCCATCTCGTTTCCTATGACCCACCAGGTGGGACCACTCCACCTCTCCAGCTCGGCTGGGTGCTCAATCAGGTGGCTCGGGATGTGGTGGCCCATGATGGTGTCCGTGCTGTTCTGCAGCTGCTGCTTCGTCTGGAGCCAGAGGTCGTAGTTCGTGCTCCTGTAGTCCAGATCCTCAGGGTCCTGGATCTGCTTGAGTGCGTCCAGGGCGTATTTGCAATCGCTGACTATGTTGAGCCCCCTGGCTGTCGCCGCCGTGGTGTACCCGATGGCTTTGCTCATGGCGGTGAGCTCTGCCCGTGGCACCGTGTGCGGTGCCCTGATTGTGCCGTACCAGGGAGCCACTTCCTGCGGACGTCCTTGTTCGTCGAACCTGAAAGCCACCACTGCCCAGCCGCAGCATCTGAGGCGGGGGTCCCTGGCCGTTTCCCCTGCACCACCTGAGCCGTCCGTAAAAACAAAGTCTGCTCGAACCTTGTGCCCTGACTGGGCTGCCGCCTGAGCCTCTTCGCTGGTGCAGAAGATCTGCGCCGCCTTCGCCGCGTCCTCGTCTGGGTCGACCTTGGCTGCCCAGGCCGCTGGCGGGATGCCTCGGAGCCAGAAATGCAGGTCCTGCCGCTGGTCCAGCGCGTCCTTCGCCTTCTTCGCCAGGTCGGTGTCGTTGCTGTGCCCTATCTCTGCGTTGGCAGGGCATGCGTGGTAGCGGTGTTCCTCTGTCTCTATCGCCTCGCCGCATCTCGCGCAGGTGTCATCGCCTTCTTGGTTGAGGTTGGCCGCCCTGCGACGCTCCCTGGTCCAGATGCCCGTCACCGCTATGGTCTCCAGCATGGCTGCCTCTGCATGCTGTCCTTTACGCCTCCTCCTCCTCAGGTGGCGCTGCAGCTGATAGAGGTCGCCTCCAGCCTGAAGTCCTTCTCCACTGCGATGGCCAGCTGCCTGCTGCCAGAGCTGCTGCTGCGCACTCTGCTGGACTTCATGCAGGAGCGCGCCGAAGTGGGGAATGTCATCTGGCTTGTAGGCCCACTCGTCTCCTGCTGGGCTAATCCAGCTGTCCAGGCGTCGCGGTGTCCAGCCTAACCCAAGCAACTGCACAATGACCCCTGCCATAGGCCCCTTGACCTGCTGCCACCTGCGGTTGGGTTCCAGGGCGCCCAGCTTGGCGTAGAGCAGGAGCCAGCCCCTCTGGTACCTCTTGAGCTCCGTCGGGTGGTCGACTACGGTGAGCCAGAACTGCTTGATCTGGTCGCCGATGGCTCGGGTTACTGCCTCTTGCATACCCCTCTGGATCAGGAGGATGGTGGACGTGCAGCGCCCTGCCTTGTGTCCGCCTGTGAGGAGCGCTGCCTCCGTTGCCCTGACCAACTTCGCCTCCGTGGGCGTGATGCCGTGCGCTGGTAAGTCCCAAGCCTGCTGGCAATAGGCACCTGCTGAATAGACCTTTGCCGCGCCTCTGGCGTCCGTCTTCGCTAGGTCCCTGAGCTTGGCCACCCTCTGCTTGGCCTTGGCCTGGCGCGCGGCATGGGTGGGTCGCCGCAGCTGCTTTCCAAGGCTGGTGTCCACGCCGAGGTCGCGCACTACCCCTGGTTGCTTGTTGGGGGTGCCCAGGCTGTCAAGGATGCTGGCGACTTCTGCCTGGAGGTCCTTGTCCGAGGCCACCACTGCCGTCTTGACAGAGATGGGGATCGCGAGCCGCTTGAATCCATCGTGCACCAGCGCTGCCACGTGCTTGATCTGGTCAATGACCTGCCGCCGCGCGCCCTCTACCTGCAGGGCCAAGTCGTCCAGGTACTGCTGCATGACGACGAAGATGTGGTGCCTGTGTGCTGCATCCAGGATACCATACAAAAGCGGTCTGGTGAGGTCTACCGCTTGGCCACAGCCAGCTACCATACTGTTGGCAGGCTCGAAGCTGTCCGAGAAGAGGCTGTGGGCCATGATGGCCCTGGGCGCAAGGTACATCTGCACGGCCATTGCCAGCGGCAGCAACGGGTACTGGAGGGCACTGGCCTTCTCGATCAGCTGGTCGAGGCCTATGTTGTCGTAGAAGTTTGCCGCGTCGTAGAACACCCCTGCTGCATGAAAGCCCATCTCCGTGGCGGCTTCTGCCCTCATCAGTCTGTGCATTGCCACTCGTAGCGCTGAGGAGCCAGCTACTGCCGTATCCCAGAAGCCCGCCGCTACCTTGCTCCAGGTGGCTACTATGGGCCTCCTGGCTGCGCTCCAGATGCGGTACGGCATGGGCATGAGGCCGATGGGGCGCTCTCCACCGATTCCTGGCTTCTTACCCAGCAGCAGCTCCAGCACCAGGTAGAACTGCCACGGCCAAGCTGCCCGTTGCTCACAGCTGGTCAGGCACTGCACGAAATCTTCCAGCCCCTGGGCGCCCATGGCCTTGAGCTCTGGAGCACTCCACCAGTCCGCTCCTTGGCCAGCATTGCGCTTCAGGTGCTGGATGATGGAGCCTATGATGTCCTTGCTGATGGGCTCGAGGGCATTCTCTTGGGCCAAGGCAGCCTGCCTCAGCTTGGCCAGCGCCTCTTGGATCCTCTCGGCCTTCTGCGCATCTCGTGTCCACCTGCGTTGCCATGCTTCTTTGCGCAAGTCCACCAGCTGCTGCGGGTGGTTGATGACCTGGCCCTCGTGCTCTAGGATGTCCTCCAGATGGCTGCGCTCCGCTGCCTTGGTGTAGGCGTGGGCCATCTTCGCACTGCCTGCCGTGGCGTCGTGCACCCAGTGGGTGTACGCCTTCTTCACCGCCTTTGTGAGTAGCTTGGCCATGCTCTTTACCTCCTCTGCTACCCTGCTGATCGTCCCTGGGTCCACGAGGGCGCCCTCTGCTATCGCATTCAGGTCTGCGAGGAGGGCCTGCTGCTGGTCCTTGGCTGCACCTTCTTCGTTCAGCCTGCCTGGGTCAGGCTGGTTGAGCTGCTGCGCAAGCTGCCGTCTTGTGTTGATCTGCTGCTGCGTCTGGCGGCCACTGTGGGTGCAGACCTGCTGCTCTCGGCGCCTACTCTGGCCACTGCCTGTACCTGGAGCATCATGTAGTTGTCTTCGCGCTGCTCCTTCTGGTGCTCGTTCGCCTATAGCTTCTCGCATAAACCTCCACAGGTTTGCGAGCTCCCTCCAATGCATCATTTCCAATTCATGCCTCCTCGTCGGCTCCTCTCGCGTAAGTCCTTGGAGAAAGCCTCGGCGCCGTGGTTCTGCATGTCTCCATGCTCGCTCGCAGATGTCCCTGATGATGTGGCTGAGGTCGGCCTGCTGGTACCTACGCCTGAGCAGTCTCACCATGCCATTGTTGCCTCCGCCTCCCAGGATGGTCTCCAGGAACGGCACACAGATCTGCATCCAGTTGCTGTTGTCCGTGGGGAGCTGCACCAAGTTATCCATCCAGATGGCCGCCCAGTACTCCAGGTCGTCTCTCATGGCCACGTAGTCTTCTCGCTCTCGCTGGTGTTGGTCATCATTCCAGGGGTCTGATGGGGGCAGGCCCATATCTCGTTGCTCATCTGCCTCTGGGCTTGGCGGCGCTTGGTTCTGACTCCCCAGGTGATCGGTACCCTCTGCCTCCAGAGTGCCAGCTGGCAGAGGAGGTGAGCAGTGCGTGTCACCTGGGGCGGTTTGACCAGATCCAGCTGCATGACGACGAGCGGTCTGGCCGCAGCCGATGCTGTCCTGCTGCCCCTCGATGCGCTGGTGGTACCCATCGCAGTCCTCCTGGTCTGCGGTCTCCTGGCGGTACTGCAGGCAGTCCTCCTCCTCCTCGAAGGGGTCGTGGTCTTGGACGTCCATGGTGCTGCGTCCTGCTGGTGGGTGAGAAGCAGGTCCAGCTGCTCGACGGCGAACGGTCTGGCTGAACTCGAGGCTGGCCTGCTGCCCCTCGATGCGCTGGTGGTACCCATCGCTGTTTTCCTGGTCTGCGATCTCCTGGCGGTACTCCAAGTAGTCCTCCTCATCCTCGAAGGGGTGTTGCGTCCTGCTGGTGGGGGAAGGGCACCCCTCTGCATCCCTTCTGGGCAGCTGTCTGCGCTGCTGTGGGTTGGCCCCGCGTGGAGGTCTGGGGCGCGTCCCGCGGCGGCGCGCTCGGGGGACGGGAACCCCTGACCCATCTCAGAGCAGGGGCCAGCTGCCTTCCCATGGTCCGCTGCGCTGGCCTGGACCTCAGCCTGAGGGGGGGGGGGGGACCTCCTCAAGCGCCGGCTGATTCGCGATGTCGTTGGTGCTACTGCCGCCGCCTCCTGCTGCGCCTCCACTGCCTGCGCTCCGCTGCTGCAGCTCGGGGGGGCCCTTACCCCGCTCGGTGGGGGCGCGTTCCACCGAGCTTCCTCCCGAGCCCTTCGATGGGCTCATGGCTGGTGCGGGGGCCCCGTCTTCGTGGCCTACCTGGCTGCCAGACATGACGGGGCCAAGCTCCGACTCCAGCGGGCCCTGTCCTCCTCCCGAGTCCTCATCGGGGAGTGCATGGGTCTTGCCCTGTCGGCTTGCCGCTGCCTCCTGCGCTCGGGCATCATGGTGCGAGAGCTGCCGCACCAAGGAGGAGATCTCCGCCCACCACGCATGGATATTCCTTTCGACCCCTGCCCATGGCGTAGAGGTGACGGTGTCCTTGATGCTCGCGCTCTTGTAGCTCGGGGGCCTGCTGTGCCCGAGATGTCGTCCTCGCTCTTCCCCTGGGATGCCGATGCTCTCGCGCAGGCTGAGCTCGAGGGTGCTTGCGAAGTGGTCGTGCTGTTGCCCCAGGTCCAGCATGTCCCGCTCCATCATCTTGCCGACGACAGTGTGCTGCAAGTGCTGGGGCAACTCGTCGTAGGCACGCAAGCTGACCCGCTCGGAGGTGGCCTGCCGCAGCTCGTCAGGGATGACGTGCTGGATCTCCTTGTCGTAGTGCAGCTGCGGCACTGGCTCCATGTCGTTCTCTTCCAGGTCGCATCCTGCCTCTGCCAGCGCTTGCTGACGTCGACGCATGGCCTCCTGGCCTCCTCGCGCCGCTCGTCTGCAAGTGGCTCTGGACTTCGGCATTCTCTCAACTGCGACTGGTGGCTTTATGGCTGCTGGCCTGCGAAGTACCCTGCCCTTGAGCTTGAGAGGCCGCCCTTTCAGCTTCAAGCGGATGCCGATGTGCGGCTTCCACGGCGCGGTCCTGAGCAGCTCTAGCTGGTCAAAGTACGGCGCCTGGCCCTGCGAGATCAGCGCGAAGTCGATGCACCTGGCTTCGCCTCCTGCTGGGAAGCACGTGGGGGCGCCATCCTCCGCCGCAGCTACTTGAGCATTCAGCGCCCTGGGCCAGATGCTGTTGTTGAGCTCCGACGGCGTCATGTTGAAGTCCCCAAGCGCTGCCCATGGCCCTCCCCAGACGGCCATCTTCTCCCGCAGGTCGCAGAGGATGTCGACGTTCCTCTCTCCAAAGCCCGCCCCACACTCGAGGTAGACGAAGGCCACTGCGAAGCGGACCTTGTGCAGGTTGGAGATCACCACCGCGACGTCGCTGCCGCCCTCGTGCAGGTAGTGCTCGTCGAAACCCGCGATCCTGTCCTGGATGTCAAAGGGTCCTCGCGTGATGGCACACGTTCCTCCTCGAGTGCCTTCTCCTTCTCCTGGCCGTGCCTTGGTCCAGTAGCTGTGCATGCCATTCCTCCTGAGCGCCGCTCTTGCCTTGCTTATCTGCGCAGGCTGGCGGAGGTGGTGCTCCGCGATGCCAGTGATGTCCTTGTCCTTGGTGTCGTTGATCTCCATGAGGTAGCCCTGTGCCTGGGGGCCCCAGGTCGTGATATTGAAGAAGTCGATGTGGTAAGGGCGGCGAGCCTTCTTCGCGCTCGCCTTGGGGCGGCTACCCTGCTGAGTGGTCACCTTGCCCTTCTGCGTCGACGACTGTCTCGGCGCGCCTGGCCTGCGAGACCTTCTCTCGCGCCTCCTGGATATGGGCCTCCACTCTGGCTCGGCGCTCCTCTGCTTTGTCATGTTCTGCTGCAGCTGCTTCTGGTTGGGCAGCTGCTGCGGCTTCGTGAGGCGCAGCCGCGGCAGCTGACCCTGCTGCCTCAGCGCCTGTGGTGGCACCTCGCTGAGGGGCTGGGCTGGCGGCGCAGACACGCTTGCCTGGTGGGGCTTCTGCTGCTTCTGGGTCTTGCTCTCCGCTCTTTGACAGGCGCTTGGTGCGGGCCTGCTCGAGCTGGCGCAGCTGCTCCTGGTGCCTGGCCGTCTCTTCCTCCAGAAGTCGCAGGTGCTTCGCCGTCTCCTCCTCGTGCTCCTTGACCGTCTGGGCCATACGCTCGCCCTTGGCCTTTGCTGCTCGCCAGACCTCCTTGTCGGGCTCTGACCACTTGTGGAAGTCGTCAGGCTCATGCTCGAACTGCTCCAGGAGGGCTGCCAGAGTTGGCTTCTCGGCTGCAGGTTCAGCTGGTGCCTCTTGCTTGCCGACTGTGGCCTTGAGCTTGTCGAACTCATCTTCAGCTGCAATGGAGGCTTCCATAGCTTCACGAAGCTTGCGTTCACTCTCAGCCAAGTACTGCTGGGCACTCTCCACTTGCTCCCCTGCCGATCGTACCTTCTTCTGGAGTTTGTCCAAGCGTCGAGCTGCTGCCTCCACTGCCTTAAATCCAGCAACTGGTTGTTCTGCTGGTGGCTTGGCTGCGGCGAGCTCTGGCCAGAGGGCCTCGTAGTGCTGCCTGAGCGGGTCGTCCTTGCTGAGCTTGCTGTATACTGCTGCGGCGGCGGCCTTGAGATCGACGGTCTTGTCGTGAGGTGGTGGCTGGCGTTGGCCTCCTTGCCCTTTCCCACCTGCACCACCTCCTGGCTGCCAACCATCAGCCCAGCTGATCCTGGGCGAGGTTCCTCCTTGGGGCTGTGCTGCCAGCCACCCACCATCCTCGTCACGGAAAACATGTCCGTCGGGGACGAGGCAGGCGAGGTTCTTGCCGCAGATGCAGAGGTCGCCCCTGCTGGTGATATTCTTGCAGTGGCGCCATCTGCTGCACCCGTCACACACCACGTAGCTGCTGCGAGGAGGGCGACTGCCACTGCTGCTCCTCTTCCACGGTGGCACCCTCTGGCGATTCGGGGTCCCCGACCAGGCGCTGCCCGCCCCGCGTCCGCCGCCGCCACTCCCCATGGCTGCAGCAGTGCCGCGCGCGCGCCCGACGCCCGTCTGGGAACTGTCCTCGGTCCAGAGGTCTCCCTTCGGCCTGGAGGCTGGACAGCCCCCCAGGTCGCCATCTTGAGCCAAAATGGCTACGGGCAGGAGGAGGAGGAGGAGGAGGAGGAGGAGGAGGAGGAGGAGGGCGCCCGCGTGGCGACGACGAGATTCTTGACCCCCTCCAGCGCGGGCCCAGCCCCCACTGCCCACGCGCCTGCGCCGCAGATGCTCCCTCGGCCCAGGGCTGTGCCCGGCCATAGCCCCCCCCCTCTCCACCCGTCGGTCGGAAGAAGTACAGTCGGCCTTGATTGGACAGGACACGCGAGAGGACACAAGACCTCTCCGAGGGCCACATCGCCATAGGAGTGTAAGAAGGCACGTGTCGCGAGGCACAGGACACAGGGGTACCCTTGAGCTGGCAGGGTCGACCTACTAATCCAGGCCGACTGTAGGTGTAACCATGAAGTGGGACCGGCGCCGATGTCGCCCGGGGGGCGTCCCGTGCAGGGAACGGCGGGTGCGCCCGGGCGCCCCGGTGGGATGCCTGGACTACACTGATTCCGTGCTCATCCAGTGATTGTGATCCCGGGCAAGTGGCTCCTAGTTGCCATCTGCATGGCAGTGCCGCGCTGTGGCACAAATGTCGTCGAACCATCGCAGGCGTGGTCGTTGTGGCAACCTCCTGGAAGCAGATTGGGCTTCCGCCCGCCCTCTCAAGAGGAAGGACAAGGAACAAAAACGCTCGACGGTTGAAGTAGGAAGGCGCAAAAAGCGCTCGACGATTGAAGTAGGAAGGCGCCTGTAGTAGATCTCCAGACCCCCGACGTCGTGATTTTTTCGCAACGTCGACCCCCAGAGGTCTGGACCCCTTCCCTGGGACCGGTTTGTCATCCTGAGCCGTTTTCTGACGGCCCCGAGGCCCGGGAAGGGCCCCCGGAAGCCGAAAGTACGAAAAAACCTCCCGTCGTGTTTTTCCCAACCATCCTGTGGTGTTGGGTCATCGTTTTGAAGAGACAGCGCCCCGCGTTCCTTCCTCCTCCCGCTTCTCCCTCCCCCTCCTCCCTCCTCCCCCTCATTGCCTCTGCTCTCGGCACACTCCTCACACGTTTCGTAGCCCCATAGGGAGCTCCACCGACGGCCCCAGTGGGGGTGCCCGCATGCGGTTCCCCCACCCAGGGCAGCGTTTCGTAGCCCCATAGGGAGCTCCACCGAAGGCCCTAGTGCCACCCAGGACAACGCTTCGTGGCCCCATTGGGAGCTCCACCGAAGGCGCCAGAGGCGCAGTTCGCATGCGTCTCCCCCACCCATGACTGCGCTTCGTGGCCCCATAAGAGCTCCAGCGAAGGTCCCAATGGCGCAGTTCGCATGCGTCTCCCTCGCCCAGGGCGGCGTCTCGTGGCCCCATAGGGAGCTGCACCGAAGGCCCCAGTGGCGGTGTCCACATGCGTCCGCGCCACCAAATTCGGCGCACCCCTCACAAGTTTCGTGGCCCCATAGGAGCTTCACCGAAACCGGTACCCACAATGCGGTACTCGCAACTGCACATGGTTGGGTCCTTCGTCGGGCTAATTTTCACAGCGCGCGGGTGGATGGGCAACGCGGGGCGCACAAGCCGAGCGGCTGTCGAAGAAACCCAAGGTACCTCGAATGCCCGGAAGTTTCTTGGAGGTTCGGGCGCGCGCCCCGAAACTGACCGACGTCCAAAAATTAAGTCGGGCGTGTCCCCCTACAGGGGGATTTTGGGCGAAAAATGAAAAATATTCAAAACATATCCAAAACATAGTCCCCAGACTTTTTTTTTCCCGAAAGTCCCCCTGTAGGGGGACACGCCCGACTTAACCCAAGAAACCCAGAGTGCCCTGGCATTTGCAGTTTCTTCGGGATCGCCGTGGCCTTCCGCGCCCAAGGCCAGCCAGAGAAACCCAGGGAACCTCGACGAAACGTAGGGTGCTCCTTGTCGTGGTCCCCCGCTGTACTTCCAAGTCGGGCGCGTCCCCCTGCGGGAGGAATATTTTCAAAGCTGGGGGAAAAAATGATACGGGGACTGTTCTCTGAATATTCTTAAAACATTTTTGAGGACATTTTTGGATCTATTTTTTCGTCCCAGATCCGCCTGCCAGGGGGCATGCCCGACCTGGCTGCACTGCCAACGACCAGCGTGCAGTGCAGCGACACGCCCGGCGTGCGGCGGCGGCGACGGCGACCAGCGGCCGGCCGCGGGGGGGGCCCCCCGGCCGCGCACGCCGCGCCCTCCCCAGACGCGCGGCGCGCCCCGCTTCTTGGCCGACGCGGGGCCCATGGATGTCCCGACCCTTTCTTTCCCTCACGCTTCTCCTCCTCCTCGTCGTCCTCTTCCTCCTCCTCCTCCTCCTCCTTCTGCTCCTCCTCATCCTCTCAGCCTCCTCCTCCTCCTCCTCCTCCTCCTCCTCGTCCTGCTCCTCCTCCTCCTCCTCCTCCTCCTCTCCTCCTCCTCCTCCTCCTGCTCCTCCTCCTCCTCCTCCTCCTCCTCCTCCTTCTCCTCCATTCCTTTTCCTTACAAGCAACTTCTCCTTGCCACACCCCGAGACCGGTCGAAAGGACGGGCCGGGCGTTCCCCTTGAGACTTCCTCCCCATTCATGACGCTGAAGCTTAAAGATTGGCAACAGTTTCACAGTTGGAGGGCGGGTCGTTTTCAACATATGGCGCTCGCCTGAGCGCCGCGCACATTCGCTCTTAACATTTGCAAGAGTTTCGCGGGTTGAGGGCGGGTCGTTTTCAAAGTGTGGCTCTCGCCTGAGCGCCGCGCACATTCGTTAAACAAATCTGCGAGTGCTCCACGGACTGAGAGCAATGCAAGAGCTTCACGCATAGAGGGCGGTTCGTTTTCAAGCTGTGGCTCTCGCCTTGGCGCCGCGCACATTCCATCTTAACACGGACTCCCATGGTCAACGTACCAGAAACTGTGCCTAGGAGAGACTCAGGAGTACAAGGGTGCAACAATTACGTTGATTCGCGGTGTTGAAGTTCCAGGAATGGCGCTCTGGCACGATTCAGAATCGTCAAGACGCAGCAGTCACGTTGATCCGTGGCGTTAGCATCACGAGAACAGTGTTTTGGCATGCTTCAAGGTCTTCAAACGGTTGTCTTCCAACGAGGCAGTTCCCTCAGTAGAAATTAGCGCTTGTAGGGGCCTATGATGAGGGAGCTTGGAGGGAGGGTTTATTCCAACATCGTTGATGACGCTTGGGTTTACACTGGTCCTCCTCCTCCTCCTCCTCCTCTTTCTCCTCCTCTTTCTCCTCCTCCTCCTAATTTGCCAACCCCGGCCCCTTCCCATCCCACTCTCCCATACCCCATCCCCTTCCCCATCCCGCTCCCCGTCCGCAGACCCCCGACCTCCGGCTTTCCTCAGCACGTCCACCCCCTCCAGAGCCGGAGCTCTCGACCCCTTCCCCGGCGCCGGCTTCTCATCCCGAAGTCGTCTCTTCACCGCGGCCCTGGCCGACCGAGCGACGACCGACCTCCCGCCCCGACTTTTGCCGCGGCGCGAGCACGCCCGGGCCTCCTCGCTCCGCCCCCCCTGGCTCCTGATCCGCCGTACTTTGGATGATTTTCCGACCTAAAATTGCGTCGGAAATCGACGCCAAAGGAGCCTCAAGGGCGGAAATCGACGCTCAAAGGGGCCTCAAAACTAGGGCGGAAATTTCCGCCCTACTTTCGAAATCGCCCAAAGTAGGGCGGATCAGGAGTCAGGGCCGTCGTGGCGCCGCCCGGCCGCGCCGTCCTGCGCCCCGGCCGCCGCCTCGCGCCCGGCGGCGCACTCGCCGCCCCACCGCGCGGCCGTGCCCCTCCACCCGCGGTCCCAGGCGCCCTGGTGGAGGAGGAGGAGGAGGCGGAGGCGGAGGAGGGGAGGGGGCGGAGGAGGAGGAGGAGGAGGAGGAGGAGGAGGAGGAGGAGGAGGGAGGAGATGAGGAGGAAGGATGGAGGAGCAGGAGGCAGAGGCGGAGCGGAGGATGAGGAGGAGGAGGCGGGTGAGGAGGAGGAGGCAAGGCGGAGGCGGAGGCGGAGGCGGAGGGAGGGTAGGGGTGTCGGAGAAATGAGGGGAGGGGGGCGGAGGAGGAGGAGGAGGAGGAGGAGGGATTTTTGGGAGGAGGAGGAGGAGGAGGAGGAATGACCCTCGCGCTGCGGAAAACTCACGCGGGGAGGATTTTTTCGAGATTGTTCTGCCTCCGGGGGGGGGGGGGACCCTCCGCCCCCACCACGTCCCAGCACCCCACGCCACGAGAGCTCAGCTCTTGGGGCCCCACCCAACACTTCCGTCCCCACCACGTCCCGGCACCCCCACGCCACGAGAGCTCAGTTTTTCGGGCCCCCCACCCAACACTTCCTCGCCCGAAACCGACCGACACCCTCCCCCCCCCTGCCCCTACCAAGGCCTCGGGGCCGTCAACAGAACGACGCGGCATGAAAAACTGGTCCCGGGGGAGAGGTCCAGACCTCTGGGCGTCGACGTTGCGAAAAAAGCACGATCACGACGTCGGGGGCCTGGGGACGATTAAAAAGGGGGGACTGGCACAAGGGGGGGGGGATAGTGGAGCGGCACATCGGCGATTCATCGCCGATAGATCGGCGAGGGGCCCCGGATCGTGAACCCCCATGTTCCTGGGCGGGGTGGGGCCATCGGGCCCTCGTCGGCGACGAAGGGACGATCGGGGGTCGATGCATCCCCCCCTGAGCGCACGCATCCCCCTTCCTTGCTGCCCCCGAGTCGTCTTGCTTTCGGGTCACAGCTCGGCTCTCCGGCGGCCGTTCGGGACGATCCGGGGGGGCACCCTGGGAACGCCCCTGGCGAGGCGCAGCCGCTGGGAGGCATCCCGCGGCTGGGGAGCCGACGGCAACGTCCGAAAACCTCGAACCTCGAGCCTCGAAGCCCGGCCCCCCCCCACCCCCCAGTGCCTCTCCCCTCCCCTCTCGCTCCCAGACATCTGGCTGCTCCAATTTTTCCGATGCGTGGTCCCCAGAGGTCCAGACCTCGTCCACAGGGCCGGTTTTTCGTCCCGAGTCGTGTTCTGAAGCTCCCGAGGCCCAGCGAGGGCTCCCAGAGGCCGACAACGGCCCCCCAAACCGCCCGCTCCGATTTTTTCTTTTGGAGCGTCAGACCTCTGGGGAGGAGGAGGATGCGAGGAGGAGGAGGAGGAGGAGGAGGAGGAGGAGGGAGGAGGAGGAGGAGGAGGAGGAAGAGGAGGAGGTTGCCCCTGGCCTGGGACTGGCGCAGCAGGGCCCCGAACCGCTCGGCCACTGGCGCCCGCGCCGCGGCCAGCTCCCCAGGCCGGCCAGGGCGCGGGAAGGCCACCGCGACGGCCTGCAGGAAGAGGCCGCCGACGCCGCGGCGCGCCCTGGGCGGCAGCGGCGCGCCGTGGCGGCGCCGCCACGCGGACTCCGCTAGCGCGTAGATGCCCTCGTCCTCGCGGGAACGGCAAGAACCCTCCTCCCCCTTTTCCTCCTCCTCCCTCCTCCTCCTCCTCCTCCGCTCTTTTCCTCCTCCTCCTCCTACTCCTCCTCCTGCCTCGTCCTCGTCCCTCGTCCTCCCTCCTCCTCCTCCGTCTCCTCGTGTCCTCCTCGCTCCTCCTCCTCCCTCCTCCTTCATCTCCGTCCCCCCCTCCCCCTCCTCCTCCTCCTCCTCCTCTCCTCCTCCTCCTCCTCCTCCTCCTCCTCCTCCTCCTCTCCTCCTCCATTCCTCCTCCTACCTCCTCCTCCGCCTCCTCCTCGTCCCTCGGCCCTCGCCCTCGTCCTCGTCCTCGTCTCGTCCTCGTGTCCTCGTCCCGTTCTCGTCCTCGTCCTCGTCCTCAGTCCTATCCTCCTCCTCGTCCTCGTCTCGTCTCGTCCTACGTCCTCGTCCTCGTCCCTCGTCCCTCCTCCTCCTCCTCCTCCTCCTCCTCCTCTCCTCCTCGCTCCTCTCCTCCTCCTCCTCCTCCTTCCTCCTCCTCCCTCCTCCCCTCCTTCCTCCTCCTCCTCCTCCTCCTCCTCCTCCTCCTCCTCCTCCTCCCTCCTCCTCCCTCCTCCCCCTCCTCCTCCTACCTCCTCCTCCTCCTCCTCCTCCTCCTCCTCCTGCTCCTCCTCCTCTCCTCCTCCTTTTCCTCCTCCTCCTCCTCCTCCTGCCTCCTCCTTCTCTTGCTTCTCCTCCTGCCCACACTCCTCATACTCCTTCTCCTCCCTGCTCTTCCTCATCCTCCTCCTCCTCCTCCTCCTCCTCCTCCTCCTCGTCTCACCCTCCTCCTCCTCCTCCTCCTCCTCCTCCTCGCCTCCTCCTCCTCCTCCTCGCAGCTCCTCCTCCTCCTCCTCCTCCCTCCTCCCTCCTCCCCCTCCTCCTCCCTCATTCGCCCGGGATCTTATGTCGACGACTTGGAGGCGCTCTACGACGGGGCGTGGTTGGGCGCTGTCCGGCCGCGCCTGGAGCAGTTCGCTGGGGACCAGCAGGCAGGAGGGCGCTACGACGCGGTGCTCATGACCATTGGCGTCTTTCTGGCGTTGCAGCTGCGCCGCCGCGCTGGCCTCCGCACGCTGGTCTTGCGAGCTGGCCTGCGGCAGGGCTTCGATTTGGCGTGGCGGGACGCGGTGCGGGTCCAGCTCCGAGCGGCGGGCTTAGTGGGCCGATGGTGGCTGGCGGCCGATGCTTCGCTCGGTGCCGAGAGCGTCCGGGTGCGCATTGGGCCCCTCGTCGCTCCCGCTGTGGCCCTCCTGGAATTCGGTGTCGGCCAGGGCCGCCGCGCGGGCGTCCACCTCTTCTTCGGGGCCCTCACCCGCGGACTCCTCGATTGCTGCGCAGCGTCGGCCGCGCCAGTTCCCGTGGGCCCGCCAGGCTCGCGGAGGCAGGCGTTGCCGCAGTGGCTAGAGGGCTCTCGGCCTTCTGCGCGCGGTACCGCCACGCCTTCCAGGGCGGGCCCACCAAGGGGCCGGCGGTGATGGCGGTAGGCGACCCCCCGCCGGATGCCGCGGCGTGCGGCCAGGTTGCAGGCTGGGATGTCCGCGCCGCGACCTCCCTGTCATGCCTTGGCGTGCCGATCGATGCCCAGCTCACCCTCGTCCTCCTGCTGGACCGGGCCTGCGCGCGGATTCGCGACGGCGCGAAGAAGCTCTTCGCGAGCATGACGGACTGAGGCTTCGGGCTGCCCGTGCAGGCGGGCCACCTTCCGGCGCGGGTGGATGCCTCGGCCCTCTATGGCGCCGAGCTTCTGGCGAGTTGCGCTTTGGGCTGGCCGGCGGTGCGCACCCGGCTGAACCAGCTCTATCACGACGTCGCGAAGGCGCTGCTGACGGGATCCACCGGCCCGGTGTCCTTGGGGCCAGGCGGGCACGTCCGCGCCTTCCTGGAGGTGCGCTTCCTCACGAGGCTGGGCACCAAGGGGTCCCCGTCGCGCTATCATGGCGAGGGCCTTACTGGCGCTCCTCCCCGCACCGTCCCCGATCACCCCCGTTCTCGAGGCGCCCGCCAAGGCTGGCGGAGAGGCCGCGTGGATGGAGCACGCGGAGGCCGTGGCGGGCGAGGTGGGCATCTCGGCGTGGCCGACAGCCGCCCCCGCTGCGACGCCCGACCGGCGCCGCCGCGCAGCCGCCGCCTGGGGCCGCGCCGTCGTCGATCCCCGCTTGGAGGCGATGGGGTCGGATTGGTTTGCGGCGCAGGTAGGCCGGCTCGCGAACGACGGCCTCGTGTCTCTCGGGGACATCCTTCCGCTGCGGCAGCCGTGGTCGCGGGAGTGGCTCCAGGCGCGGTGGGGGCCTACCACGTGGCGTTTCCACAGGGCGTGGCGCACGGCGAGGGTCGCGCTGTGCATCCCCAGCGCGGTTTGGGGCCTCTATGAGGACGCCGACATCGTCTCGGTCGAGCCCTGCCCCCTTTGTGGCGGCTTCACGGCGACCCTCGCGCACCTGGTGGAAGCGTGCGCGGCGCTTGCTGGCCTCCGGGCGGAGGCTGCCCCGTGGGCCCCCGCAGGTGCTCCCGTGCTGGGCTGTGCTGGGCCCCAGACGGGGACCTGGATGTCCTCGCGGCCCGGGTGCGGCTGGTCGGGGCTGCCGCTGGGGCTTACGTCAGCGCGCGTGTGCGGCCGCGCGCGGGCTGAAAACATGAGGCGGCCGGCCCTTCGGGGAGGATGCGGGTTGCAGGAGGCGCGGGCACCGTCCCTGCCCTCCAACCGGGCCCGCGCGCGTCCTCGCCGGTGCACGCCCCGCTCGCGCAAGCGGTGGCCGGGCCCTCGCCCGGCGCTGCCACGCTTGCGCAGGTGGGCGCGTTGCGCCAGCGACGGCAGGCGCGGCGGGGGTGCAGGGGGGTCGCGATGCACGCTTGCGATGGGGGGGGGAACCCGTCACTGGGTATGGCCCGGGTGGGCTGACCGCGCGAAACATTTCAGCCAACTCGTGGCTCGTGTTGGCTGAAACTCGAGCGGGCCTCGGGCGGGGTGGCTCCACCCCGGTTTTCAGCCAATTTGGGCCGCGTCTTGGCTGAAATTCCGGGCAACCTTCGACCTCCCGCAAGCGACCTCTCCTGCGAGCATGGGGCGCCCAGGCTGGCCACCCTTCCTTCGCACCACTCTGTCCTCTGCGGGCTCCCCATTCACCCTTCCTTCCTCGGGCCCTCTCCCCCGTCCCCCCCCCCGCGTGGCCGGACGGGGGCCTGGGCCAGGTGGCGCACCGAAGGCCCGAGGGCGGAGCTCGCCCACTCAGGTGGGGTTCTTCCCCTACCCCTGGGGCACCCGCCCCTCCCTGGGGGTGGGCACGGTATCAGCGAGATCCAAAGCGAGATCCTCCTCCTCCTCCTCCTCCTCCTCCTCCTCTTCCTCCTCGTCCTCCTTCTCCTCCTCCTCCTCCTCTTCTTCTTCGTCTTCCTCCTTCTCCTCCTCCTCCTCCTCTTCCTCCTCCTCCTCCTCCCCCTCCTCCTCCTCCTCCTCCTCCTCCTGGAAAAAAAAAAATCCTCCCCTCCTCCCATCCTCCTCCTCCTCCTCCTCCTCTCCTCCTCCTCCTCCTCCTCCTCCTCGCTCCCCTCCTCCTCCTCCTCCTCCTCCATCCTTTTCCTCCTCCTCTTCCTCCTCCCTCCCCCTCGCCCTCCCCCCCTCCTCCTCCCCCTCCTCCTCCCCCTCCTCCTCCTCCTCCTCCTCCTCCTCTCCTCCTCTCCTCCTCCTGCTCCTCCCTCCTCTTCCTCCCCGTGTCCTCCTCCTGTCCCCGCAACATATCAAAAAAAAAAAAAAAAAAACTTGTTTTGAAGAACCTGAGGATTGGGATCCCACAGCGATGACCCCAAAAGTCCATCCTCCTCCTCCTGCTCCTCCTCTTCCTCCTCGTCTCCTTTCGCCTCCTCCTCCTCCTCCTCTTCTTCTTCTATCGTCTTCTTCTTCTTCTTCTCTTCTTCTCTTCTTCTCCTCCTCTTCCTCCTCCTCTTCCTCCTCCTCCTCCCCTCCTCCTCTCGCTCCTCCTCCCTCCTCCTCATCCTCCTCTCCTCCTCCTCCTCCTCCCCCTCCTCCTTCCTCCTCCCCCTCCTCCTCCCTCCTCGCTCCTTGTTCCTCCTCCTCTTTCCGCTTCCTCCTCCTCCCCTCCCCCCCTCCTCCTCCCTCCTCCTCCTCCTCCTCCTCCTCCTCCTCCTCCTCTCCTCCCTCTTCTCCCCCTCGTGCTCGTCCTCCTCCATCCTCCGCCTCCTCCTCCTCCTCCTCCTCCTCCTCCTCCTCTTGCTTCTCCTCCTCCTCCTCCTCCTTCTCCTCCTCCTCCTCCTCCTCCTCCAATCCCACAGCCCGCAAGATCCGACCGCCCCCCCCCCCCCCCCCATTTTTTTGTCCCCCCGCTCCAGAAAAATTGCAGCGGTTGGTAATTTGCCATTTTCGGCCTCTGGGGGCCCTCGCCGGGCCTCGGGAGCGTCAGAGCACGACTCGGGACGAAAAACTGGCCCTTGGGAAGCGGTCCAAACCTCAGGGGCCCACGCATCGAAAAATTGATGCAGCTGGAGGTCTGGGAAAGGCGAGAGCCCTCAGATCCTGGCGTTGCAAACTTCGCACGACGGGCGTTTTGGCCAAGTGTCGGGCCCTGGGCCCTGGGGCCCTCACAGAGCGATCCGGCTCGAAAGAGGGCGCAGAAAGATGAGGTCTGGGGCTCTGGTCGCGATTTTTGGCGATGTCAGATCGGAGGGAAGGTCTGGTTCAAGAAGGCCGACTTCGACGGCCGCCGGGGCGCCTCAGGTCGGGCTTGGGGGGGCCGCTGCGAGTCGGGCCTGGGGGGGGCCGCTGCGAGTTTCGCGAGGGCTCGGCCAGCCGGCGCCTTCGCGCGATGGTTTGCCTCGGAAAGTTGGACATCGCCCAATGCATTGCGCCTCGGCCTCTTGTATCCTCTTGTCCATCCCATGGCAGGCTCCCAGTGCAGAGGGGGTTTACTTTGAGGCGACCCTCAGTGCCAGAGGCGTGTGGTGGCGCCTATGCACGGTCACGATGGGGGCACGCCAGAAAGCGCGTCCCCCTTGCCCCCCAGAGATCTTGCCACCCCAGGTCTAGCGAAGCCAACCTTGTCCCCAAACCCCCGACGCCGCGACTTTTTCACAACGTCGACACCCAGAGGTCTGGACCGCTTCCCCCAGGACCAACTTTTCATCCTGAGTCGTTCATCGACGGCCCCGAGGCCCGGCAGGGGCCCCCCGGAGGCCGAAAATGGCCGAAAACCGCCCGCTGCAATTTCTCTGAAGCGTCGGACCTCTGGGGAGGAGGAGAATTGCGAGGGGGAGGACGAGGAGGAGGACGAGGACGAGGACGAGGAGGAGAAGGAGGAGGAGGAGGAGGAGGAGGAGGAGGAGGAGGAGGACTTTTTCACAACGCGAGGGGGTCTGGGTCCATCGAATCCTTCTGACAAGCCCCCGTCCTCGTTGACGACCGGGGCGCCCAGGGCCTCCGCGCAGTGCAGGCGCAGCTGGTGGCGCCGGCCCTGCAGCGGGCGCAGGGCCAGCTCCGAGAGGGTGCCGCAGTGCGGGCAGGCTGCGGTCTGGAGCACCTCCGCCTCCTCCTCCTCCTCCTCCTCCTCTCTTTCCTCCTCCTCCTCCTCCTCCTCCCCCTCCTCCCCCTCCCCCTCCTCCTCCTCCTCCCCTCCTCCTCCTCCGCCTCCTCCTCCTCACGATGCCGCCCCCGCTGCAGCTCCTCTGACCCAGACCCCCTCGCGGTGCGGAGAAAAATCACGGAGGGATGTGTCTCGCCATTTTCTCGGCCCTCGGGGGCCCTCTGCCGGGCCCCAGGACCGTCAGAAGACAGGTCGGGATGAGAAGCCAGTCCTGGGGAAAGGATCCAGACCTCTGGGGGTCGACGCTGCGAACAAATCACGACGTCTGGGGTCTGGGATCCCCCCTTTCGGCGGCGAGCGAGGGGTGGAAGTGAGAAGGGGCGGGCCTTCTCAGAAGGCTCGGCAGTCCCCCGGCCTTCTGACAAGTTGTCCTACCCCGAAGACACAAGAAACTTCTCAAAGGCGCGAGAGGGCTTCCGAGAAGCCCCGCTGCCTTCTGAGAAGGCCTTCTCCTTCTCACTTCCCTCCCTGGCTCGCCGTCGACCCTTCCTTGCGAATCAATTCCTCATCCTGAGTCTTCCAGAACTCCAGCACTTACGAGGATGGAGGGCCGTTTGTTCCGACAATGCGGCTCTCGCCTCGGCGCCGCGCACATGCCTCTGAACGGCTCCAAACAGTTAACCAAGGATGGAGCTCGCTCGTTCCGTAGGCTGCGACAGACCATGGGCGTGTACACTAGCCAACCGTTTATGCAAATCTGCATGGCGCGCTCTCTCTGGCGCCACCTCAAGGCGTCACTCAAAGTATCCCCAGACATGCGACGTCCTGATTTTTTCAGGACGGCGTCCCCAGAAGTCCAGACCCTTTCCCCGGGGCCGGTTTTTCGTCCTGACTCGTTTTTTGACGGTCCCGAGGCCCGGCGAGGGCCCCCCGGGGCCGAAAATAGCGAAAAACCTCCCGTCCTGTTTTTTTTTACGACGCCATCATGTCTGGGTCTTGAGGTCGAAAACTGTCACCAGCCAGTCGGATTGCAGCAGGCAGCGCACCTCACTCCCAGTGCCTCGACTCGCGGGGCGTACTCTGGCCGCTGGCGGGGCGGAGAGCCCGTTCGTTTTTCCAGAACGCGGCTCTCGCCCCGGCACCACGCCCAGGAGGAGGAGGAGGAGGAGGAGGAGGAGGAGGAGGAGGAGGAGGAGGAGGAGGGGAGGAGGAGGAGGAGGAGGATTCCAACAATTAGAAGGATGGGGGGACGGTGGTCTCCAAAATGCGGCTCTCGCCTGAGCTCCACGCGCACTCGTCCCAAGCACTTCCAGCCGGCAGAGGGATGGAGGGACGGCAGTCTCCAAAATGCGGCTCTCGCCGTAGCGCCGCGCGCAATCGCACGCAAAAGCTTGAAACCGCAACATGGGCGGATGGCCAGGGGCTTTCCAAAATGCACCTCTTGCCTTAGCGCCGCGCGCATTCGCCTGCAAAACTTGCAACAACTATCAAGACGGAACACAGATCTTTTTCAGAATGTGGCTCGCGCTACAGCGCCGCGCACACACGTCTCAAAATCGCCAAGCTGCTCTCAGGATGCAAATCGACTCGCTCTCAAACGCGCGGCTTTCAATCCAGGCTTCCTGAAAAGTCTGCGACCCGAAGTTCGACCGAGTGCACCAGTTGCACGGATGGGGGGCGAGGGTGTATTGCAGCATCGCTGATACATCCTGGGGTTACTTTGGACCTCCTCCATCGTCTTCCTCTTCCCTCCCTTCCCCTCCTCCCCGCTCCTCCTCCTCCTCCTCCCCCTCGCCTCGCCCGTCTCTCCTCCCCTGCTTCCCTCATTACCCTCCTGCTCCTTCTCCCTTCCTCCTCCTCCTCCTCCTCCTCCTCCTCGTCCTCCTCCTCCTCTCCGTCCCTCTCTTTTCTCCTCCGCCTCCCCCTCTACCTTCTGCCCTCGTCAATGCCTGATCAGGAAATGTGCCCCGTCGCACCACTGGACGTGCTCGTAAGGCCGGGCGCTTCGCTTTTCAAACCTGCCATCTACCATACCGAGTGACTGTCCTCAAGCCGGAAAGCTCCAGCAATAAGCGGCGCAGTGGTCCTCAGAAAAGCAGCAGCTGTGGCAAGGATGGAGGGCCGGCGGTTTCCAACATGGTTCTCGCCTCAGCGCCGCGCGCGCTCGCCGTGACAGTGGTGCAGCTAGCAGGGATGGCGGCCGACACGTTCTCAGAATGCGGCTCCAGCTCCGGCTCCGCGCACATCTGTCTTGCAGGCTTGCAGCAGCGACAGTGGAGGCCCGCTCGTCTTCAGCATGCGGCTCTCGCCTCTGCGCCGCCCGCATGGAAGGCAACACCGTTGCAACATCTGCAAGGGTGGAGGTCTGCTCGTCTTCAAAATGAGGCTCTCTCTCTCTCTCTCGAGGGAGAGAGAGAGAGAGAGAGAGAGACTTCGCTTGGGTCCAGCGACCCGACTCTAAGACGTGTGACAGCTGCACGGATGAGGCGCCGCTCGTCTTCACAGTGAGGATCTCGCTTGAGGCCTCATCGCCCTGGTGACCAGAAGTCTGCCACCTCAAACTCGACCCTCCTCCCCCTCCTCCTCCTCCTCCTCCTCCCTCCTCCTCTCCTCCTCCTCCTCCTCCTCCTCCTCCTCCTCCTCTCCTCTCCCTTCTCCTCCTCCTCCTCCTCCCTCCTCTCCTCCTCCTCCTCCTCCTCCTCCCCCTTCTCCTCCGCCTCCTCCTCCTCCTCCTCCTCCTCCTCCTCAGGACCTAGGCCCCCGACGTCGTGTTCTCTGTTCCGCGGCGTCGGCCCCGTGAGGTCTGGACCCCTCCCCGCGGGACCAGCTTCTCATCCCGAGCCGTTTTTGTTGACGCTCCCGAGGCCTGGTGAGGGCTTCCAGGGACCGAACATGGCGAAACATCAGGACGAGGAGGAGGACGAGGAGGAGGAGGAGGAGGTCTGATGATGAGGAGGAGGAGGAGGAGGAGGAGGAGGAGGAGGGAGGAGGAGGAGGAGGAGGAGGAGGAGGAGGAGGAGGAGGAGGAGGAGAGGAGGAGGAGAGGAGGAGGAGGAGGAGGAGAGGAGGGGAGGAGGAGGAGGAGGAGGAGGAGGAGCACGGATGGGGGGAACCTCCTTCTCGAAGCGAGGCCCTCGCCTGAATGCCAGGCCCGTGCGGTGCTCGTCTTTCAAGTCGGGCGCCTCGTGCAGTGCGGGGAGGACGTCTCGTGGTGACCTCGGAGGAGGGGGCGCCTTGGAACAGGAGGGCGTGTTGCAGTGTCGTTGAAACATCCAGAGTTTCGTCTGGTCCTCCATCCTCCTCCTCCTCCTCCTTCCTCCTTTCTCGCTCCTCCTCCTCCTCCTCCGTGCTCCTCGCTTTCTGCTCCTTGTCGCGCCTCGCCGCTTCTGCTCCTCGTCCTGCCTCCCTCCTCTGTCTCGCTTCCTCTCCCCCCTCCTGCTTCAGTACTGCCCTCCTCAGCCCCCCTCTCTTCCCCCTCGCTCTTTTCTCCCATCCTCGGTCCCAGCTTTCTGCCTTCCCCTCCTCTTCCTCCTCCGTCTCCTCCTCCTCCATTCCCTCCTCCTTTCCCCTCTTCCTCCTCCTCCTCGTCGTCGTCGTCGTCGTCCTCCTCCTCAACACCTCAACCTCCGTCTGCGACTCCTTGCCGTCCACGGGGGCGTCGACTGTGAAGACGTCGCCCGCGGCGCCGACGGACCCGCACACGACCGCGCGGTACTCCTTGCGGACCGTGCGCTCCGCGAATGCCGCGCAGATGCTGCGATGCGCCTCCACGGCCGTGGCCACCACCACGGGCCCGGAGACCTGGGATGAAGGCTGGGAGGAGGGATGCCGCTGCTGACGATGACGACGACGACGATAATGACGACGACGATGATGATGATGTTGATGCAGCTGCTGCTTCGGATGCCGATGGTGGTGGTGGTGGTGATGCTAATGATGACGATGCCGATGACGAGGCTGATGACGATGATGATGGTGATGATGATAATGATGATGGTAATGAGGATGATAGTGATACTGATGATCGTGCTGATGATGCAGCTGCTGCTGATGATGATGAGGATGACGACGACGACGATGATGATGATGATGATGCTGATGATGATGATGCTACTGATGATGATGACGATGATAATGATGATGGTGATGGTGATGCTGATGATGCTAATGATGCTGATGACGATCACGAAGTAGTGGTGATGATGATGGTGATGATGATGATGCTGGTGGTAGTGAGGATGACGATGGTGATGATGATGATGCGGATGATGCTGTTGCTGCTGCTGATGACGATGATGATGATGATGCTGCTGATGATGATGATGATGATGATGATGATGATGATGATAATATTGTTGATGACGCTGAGGCCGAGGATGACGAGGATGCTGATTGCCTTGGTGATGGTGTTGGTGATGGTGACGGTGATCACGATGATAAGGATGATGCTGCGGATGATGCTGCTGATGATGGTGCCGATGATGTGGAGGGAGACGAGGAGGAGGTGGAGGAGGATGATGAGAAGGACAGGATTAGGAGGAAGAGGAAGAGGAACATGAGGAGGAGAAGGAGACAGATGAGGAGGAGGAGAGAAGGGGAGGGGAGACAGGATAGGATAAGATTAAGGATAATGATGATGAGGAGGAAGCAGGCGGCAGGAGGGCGAGAAGGAGGATAAAGGTGATGAGGATGATGCTAAGGAGGAGACGGAGGAGGAGGAGGCAAGGTGTGTAGGACGAGGGGAGGAGGACGTGATGTCCAGCGTGTGGAGGAGGAATGGGAGGAGGATGAGGGGGATGATGATGATGATGATGATGATGATGATGATGATGATGATGATGATGATGATGATGATGATGATGATCATGATGAACACGATGACGATGCTGATGATGATGCCGATGCTGATGATGATGCTGCATATGATGGTGACGCTGATGCTGGTGACGCTGATGCTCGGTGATGATGATGGTACTGTGGCTGCTGCTGTTGCTGATGCTGCTGGTGATACTGTTATGATGCAGTTGAGGATGCTGGTGCGGCTGATGATGCTGATGACGATGATGACCTTGATGCCGACTAATAGTATGAGGGTGATTCGTGCGATGGCGATGATGATGATGATGGTGCCGATGCTGACGATGACGATGCTGATAGCGATGGCGACGATGATGATGGTGATGATGATGATGATGACGATTTTGTTGCTGGTGGTGGTGATGAGAGGGCGGAACATGGTTACGATTATGATGCTGATGCAGGTGCGGCTGCTGCTGCCGACGACGACGATGGTGATGAGGCTGTCGATGATGCTGATGATGTTGATGAGGATGCCGATGCTGATGATGATGACGATGAGGATGCGGATTATGCTGATGCTGATGCTGATGCCGCTGCTGATGATGCTGTTGATGTCGATGCTGATGCTGATGATGCTGCTGCTGATGATGCTGCTGACGATGCTGCTGATAATGTTGCTGCGGCTGTTGATGATGCTGCTGCTGCAGATGCCGATGGTGGTGGTGATGGCGATGTTGATGCTGAATATGGTGATGATGATGATGCTGATGACGATGACGACGATGCTGATGCTGATGACGATGATCATGATGATGATGCTGATGCTGCTGATGATCATGCTGACGAGGCTGATGATGGTAGTGCTGATGCTGCTGTTGCTGCTGCTGATGATGATGCTGATCCTCCTGCTGCTGATGATGATGAGGATGATGCTGATGCTGCAGATAACGACGATGATGATGCCGACGACGACGATGATGATGACGATGATGATGATGATGATGGTGATGATGCTGACGATGCTGCTGCTGATGATGATGCGGCTGCTGATGATGATGCTGCTGCTAATGCTGATGATGCTGATGCTGACGCTGATGCCGATGCTGCTGATGATGATGAGGAGGAAGGTGAGGAGGAAGAGGAGGAGGAGAAGGAGAAGGAGGAGAAAGACGAGGAGGAGGAGGAGGCCGCGGAGAAGGAAGAGAAAGGGAGGGAGCAGGAGGAGGAGGAGGAAGAGGAGAAGGAGGAGGAGAACGAAGGACGAGGAGGAGGCGGAAGAGGAGGAAGATGAGGAGGAGGAGGAGGAGGAGGAGGAGGAGGAAGGAGAGCGAAGGAGGAGCAGGATGAGGAGGAGGAGGAGGATGAGGAGAGGAGGAGGAGGAGGAAAAAGGAGGAGGAGGAAGAGGAGGAGAATGATGAGGAGGAGGAGGAGGAGGAGGGATGGATGTGGGGAGGAGGAGGAACGGACGAGGGAGGAGGAGAGGATGAGGATCGGAGGAGGAAGAGGAGGCGGAGGAGGTGGAAAGGAGGAGGAGGAGGAGGAGGAGGAGGGTGGGGGGAGGAGGAGGAGGAGGGAAGAAGGAGGAGATGAGGAGGAGGAGGAGGACGAGGAGGACGAGGACGAGAGGAGAGGCGGAGGAGAGGCGGAAGAGAGGAGGCGGCGGAGGAGGAGGAGGAGGAGGATGAGGGAGAGGGAGGAGGAGGCGGAGGCGGAGTAGAGGCGGGAGAGATGATGAAGAGGAGGGGGAGGAGGATTATGATGATGATGTGATGCTGTGATGCTGAGGAGGAGGCGCAAGAGGGGAGGATGAGATGAGGATAGGATGAGGACTGAGATGAGGATGAGGATGAGGATGAGGGTGAGGAGGAGGATGATGATGACTGATATGAGAATGATGATGATGATGATGATGATGATGATGATGATGATGATGTGAGGGGGAGAGCTGAGGATGATTATGAAGGAGGAGGAGGAGTAAAGCGAGATGAGGGGAGGAGGGAGCGGCGGCAGGAGGTGAGGAGAGGAGGGAAGGAGGACCCCGATGAGGTGAATGGATTATGAAATGATGAATTGAATGAAGGAGGAGGAAGGAGGAGGAAGGAGGAGGTAGAGAAGGAGGAGAGGTGATGTGGAGGCGGCGTAGGAGGCAGGGTTGCGGAGGAGGCGGGGTGCGGAGGGGCAGGAGGAGGAGGAGGAGGAGGAGGAGGAGGACGAGGAGGAGGAGGAGGAGGAGGAGGACGTGGTGGTCCAGCCGGTGGCAAGGGCGCGGCCCCGGGCAGTGTATGCCGCTCGTGGGAGGCGGCAGCAGGGCGGGCAGGTAGGACTGCAGCGTCATGGTCAGCTTCTTGTAGCCGGGGCCATCCTCTCTTCTCGCGCGGGCCCGCTCACGCATTGGAGGTGGGTGGAAAACCCCTCCGGGTCACGACTCCCGGAGGGGGAGGCCCCAGCCGGGGAGGCTGAGAGGGGGCCCACGGGAGACCAGCGCCAACAGGGAGGGCAGGAAGAGAGGCACGGCAGAGCTGGTGCCCCGGACAAGACTCCCAGGCGAGGGACCCGGGCCGGGAAGGGCCGGGCTGCTCGTCAGGGGACCTGCTCATCCTTGTACAGCCAAACATATGATCAAGAGAGCTATCAATGTTGAAATCTGGGCCACGTTTCTGGACGTTTGCCAAAAGCAAGCCTGGGCCAAGTCCCACCAGCCCTCGGGGCGTCGGTGGTTTAGGGAGTTTCCTCTTCCACCCCTCCTTCTTCCCCTTCGGGGAGGGGTTTACCCCTCCCCCTCCCCCCTCCCCATGGGTTTGGACAGGGGGGTTCGCGAGGTGTCGGAGCGTCTAAGATGGCCCAAGTTGGCTCCAAGAGGGCCTCAGGGAGCCCTAGATAGCCTCCAAGATGGCTCGAGATAACGCAAGATGCCTCGAGAGCGCTCCCAAGATGCTCCAAGACGGTACCAAGACGGCTCCAAGTGTCCAAAAGAGCTCCCCAAGGATGCCCCCCAAGAAGCCAAAATGCTTCAAAACCGTCGGACAAATCAATGTTTTTGGCGTTATCGCCTTTGCGCTTACAATGCCCATCCGAGGCCTCAACATAGCTCCAAGATGGCCCAAGATGGCCCCAACAGGGGCCCAAGAGAGCCCCAAGACGGCCCCAGGAACGCCCAAGAGCGCTCCAAGAGCGCTCCAAGAGGCGACTTGGGGGGCTCTAGAGGGGCGACGCCAATTAAGGCTCCCCCCTTCTGTGATCGATGTTCTCGAAAAGGGCCTCAGGAGACGTCTTGGACCCTCCTCTTGGGCCCTGGGTGCGGGCGGGCGGGGCGCCGCCCGCCCGCCCGCAGGGCCAAAGATCCCACCAACACGCCCCGAGAGAGCTCCGAGACGCCACCAGGAGGAGGAAGAGGAGTAAGAGGGGGAGTAAGAGGAGGAGGATAATGAGGAGGAGGAGGAGGAGGAGGAGGAGGAGGAGGAGGAGGAGGAGGAGGAGGAGAATAGCTGCCGATGGTCGGCGCTCTTCTTTCGAGAGCCTGATGTAAGATGGGTTGGTGGGGATATTTTTCGGTCGCGGCCGCGAGACAAAGGTCAGGCGGCGAGAAACGCTGGTGGGGATATGTTTGGTCGGCGGCCGCGCGACAATGGTCTGGCGGCAACAGGCGTGTCCGGGACGGCGGAGAAGGCAAATTCCACGCGAGGCGTGCAATGCACGTGCACCGAGCAAAATGCTCAGCATTCACTGGGACGCACCTAGCGCACAGAGGTGCAAGCTGCGGAGTAAGTCGCCCTTGCGGCGCCAAGCTCCGAGCAACTGCCCAGACAGACACCTGTGTACCAGCCTGGGACGTCAGCTGCACGTAGTGGAAACGAAAGCCGACGACGCCGAAGGCTGACCCACTCGGCGCGCGGCCAACGGAACCACCACCGACTGCAGACGCTGGCCGAAAAACCAAAACACAGTGTCGCGCGGGTGTGGGAGGGCTACTGCAGCCCACAGAGTGCGACAGGGCGTGTGGAAGGGGAGCGCAGCTAACCGCCGCAAAAAGTACGTAATTGAAGGGCAGCTGCACACCGTCTGTGAGAACACATGTGGGGGGTGCAGCTAACCGCCGCAAGAGTCACGCAGTGAAGAAACAGGGGGAGGGCTGCACGGTGCAGTGCGGCATAGGCTGGAGGCTGATGGGGATATGCGAAGCGTCAGAATTCTGTTGCTATCGCTGGATAGCGAATGTGATCAAAAACTGGACCAACTTTCTGGCAAGCTGGTTAAGAAACACCGGCCCAACTTTTCGGGAGGAAATTTCCCCATCACGTGCTCGACAGTAATCCGCCGGCCCACTTGTGGGGCCACAGAGCTCCGCAGATTCGGCTTGCTGCTCCCTGCTCCAGTTCCAGTTTTAAGTCTCCTATGCTATAATCCTACGTTGTACTTCCTACTGTCAGCTGTTGAAGTCTGCGCGAGAGGGGTGGCCGAAAAGGACCCTGGTTACCACCACCTGGGGGTGTTCTCAAAATTCCTGGAGGGTCCTGGGACGCGTAAAAATACAGGACGTTCGCGCCCCCGAAGCCATACTCCCTCGAAACTGGCACCGTACTCGCGCTCCCGAGGCCATAGTCCCTGGTAGATCATACAATGCTCGCGTCCCCGAAGCCATTAACCCTAGCAGATTATGCTATGTTCGCGCTCCCGAGACCATAACTTCCTTGTAGGTCATTGTAGGTATGCCATATTCGCGTCTCCGAAACAATACTCTCGTAACTTACGTGACCTTTGCGTCCCCGAAGCCACGATCTCGCGCCTCGCGCAAATTACGCGTTCTTCGCGTCCCCGAAATCATAAGCCCTCATAAAGTTTGCAGTGCTCGCGCTTTCGAGGCCACAATCCCTCAGAACAGGCCCCCAAGACGATGCAAGAGGCCTCCCAGACGGCCCACGAAGTGCTCCAAGGCGCCCAGGATGGTTCCAAGACGGCCCAAGGGGCGCCCAAGGGGCTCCCCCCCCAAGAGCGCTCCAAGAGCACCCCCCAGAGGGGCCCAAGAGGCCAACATCTGCGACTTCCCCGAGGCTTTTGAGGGACTCTGGCGCGCTCACATCTCCAGTGGCCCCCCGCTCGGAGCTCTGACGCTGCCTCACGACGGCGCCCGGGCCTCGCAGCGCAGCTCTTGCATGCCCAGTTCTCCGAGGGAGGGGGCCGGCGGCAGGGGGCGAGGCCCTTACGGA